GGCTTCGGAACATCCATCACGGTGTTATGCTGCCATCCCTGGTATGTCTTCATGGTGTGTCCCTGCTTCAGCGCAGGGACAACATTAGTCTTACTGCATACGATACTAGCGTCTCATGAGAACCCTACTGAAGCATCCCGGATACTGCAAACGTACTTAGACCAATTCGAAGAATGGCTACAGCGGTGGAGAATTAAGGCCAACGAAACCAAATCCGTGCACATCGCCTTCTCTTTGAGACACGGAACCTGCCCTCCGGTACTATTAAACGGAACATGCATACCGCAAGAGGAATCAATCAAATACCTAGGCCTTCACCTGGACAGGCGGTTGACCTGGCGCACACATATTCTCGCCAAAAGAAAACAACTGGACATTAAATTTAGTGAGATTCATTGGCTAATTGGCAGAAAGTCAGAACTGTCTACCGAAAATATACTTCTAGTTTACAAGACAATACTGAAGCCTATTTGGACTTACGGCGCAGCATTATGGGGAACTGCAAGTACATCCAATATAGAAATGTTACAGAGATTCCAAAACAAAGTACTTCGCGCTATAGTCAATGCACCGCGGTACGGCCTAAACAGACTGCTACACGCCGATCTAGGCATATCCACAGTACGCGAAGAAACCACAAACATCAGCCGTAAATATAAAGACAAGATAACAAACAGCACACCCAAATGAACTGGCAGCCACACTACTAAACGGTGCAGACGAGCCCAGAAGACTGAAAAGGCATAAACGGCGCGCTTCATATAAATGCAATACACAAAATAACAAAGTCACATCCGAAATAGATTCCTAGAGAATGCTCACTGGAGCATTACTCTCCCCTACATGTTCTCTCTTAGTATTTAAGCTTTAGATTAAGTCTCACATAAGATGGACTTATAGCCCATAATGGACTGATTGTACAAATACATGGAGATACAAAAAAACTGCATAAGAGCGGAAAGCACATATTTCCCAACGGGGTTACTTGAGGTTTAATATAGCACATTTAATTGGCCTAATGCTTGTTGCTTTATCCCAGCGAGGACCATAGTTACTGAATACTGGAACCGCATATGATAATTTTCAGATGTTAACGGGCGGTAGGCAGATGTGAATTGGATGATAGGTGTTTAGGTACATGCTTTCGATGCAGAATTTTTTTTATATTTAGTACATTTATAAAGATGAGGATGATTATTAATGAAGAATACCGTCTTCTGGGGTGTGCCGCCATGTAGATCTTGTGTGAACCGACGTTTCGGAGGAACGCATCGTCGGTTCACACAAGATCTACACGGCGACACACCCCAAAAGATGGCATTCTTCATAGTCACTGCCGTGAAAACCTATAATCTTACACTGATTATTATTATTTTCGCGAACAGCACCAGCAGTTCAATAGAACACCATGCGGTTCGCGAGCCACAGCTTGGTCACTACTGTTATACCCTTCTCCATTCAGACTAAGCTAAATAAGAACTAAATCACCAATGAATGTTATGTAGCGGACAGTAATTCTCATATTTTTTCAATACATTGTAACTGTACGTTATTGTAATTGATAAAAAGATAATGCTATCTCTGTAACGGGAGCCGGGATAGCGAAGTCGGTACAGCGACTGGCTAGGGACTGGACGGCCAAGTGATCATAGTTCGAGTCCCGGTAGTGTCAAGAAATTTCTCCACGTCGTCTGGGGCCCACCCAGCTTCCTAACAAATGAGTACCGGGCGTTCTTTCCTTGGGGATAGGGCGGCAGGGGCGTGACGCTGACCACTGATATCCAATCCATACGTCTTCATGGCGTAGTGCTTTATTGGTTAAGCACACACCTTTACCTTTATCTCTGTAACAGGACGTGGAGGGCCGTAGGTTTTTGAGACGTCGAGGCTCCCACATGTTCTAGACAATCAGTTCACAGAATCGGTGAGGTTACTTTATTATTTATTCTCTCATAAAAAGTTGCTTATCAAATTTCTATCACAATTTTCTTCCTTGTTGTAAATATTACGTATTGTCTCAAATAGAAAGAAAGCAAAGAAAATCCACTGTAAAGGCAATAATACAGTGCGTACAATCAAGTGCGCGCCGCGGCTGCAATTTGCCGTGAGTCATACCACCGCAGAACGGATGCAACTCCTCCCCGCGACTGCAGTGCCGTTCCCCGATAGCGTGAGTGTAGTGGTGTCGCTGAGTCTCCGTCCATCAGTTGCTCTACATGCACACATTTATAAGAATACAGTAAAAAGATAACTTACCGTGGTTTATAACAGGTGCTGAAAGTGACCTCCTTCTGCTTGCAAACATGCCGCGCATCTCACAAATAAATTACGCGACACTCTCTGCAGTTCGTCGACGGTAATTGAATGAATTACGCGTGTAATTTCATTTTGAAGACTATCAATGCTGCGGGGATTATTTTTGTAGACTTTTTGCTTCAGGTTGCCCCAAAGATAATAATCAGAAATACTGAGATCTGGGGATCTGGGAGGCCACAGTCCTCTACTGA